ATGATGGTTATTAAAAATAATTATCTAATTTATCTCTATATTAGAGATATTAGAGATAAATTATTATTTAGAGAGGGAAATAATGTAAATATAAAGTAGAGACAATTTTACGTAAGAGTTATTAATGTCTATTGAGAATAAAAATTAGATGAAATAAATTACATCTCATCTTTTTCTTCTTTATGGTTATCTGAAATTATTTTACGATTTGTACACAAATGTGAATTAAAGATGTTAAGGAAAGATAGATATTTGAGATATGATACGCATAACTTTTAGATATGATAAGAGAAACCAAAAATATTACGATGCTTTGAACTTACTTGAATCATTGACGAATAAAACATCTCTTAAATTGAAAATTATTTAAAAAAATTGTAAAATATTAGTAAGAAAAAAAATATTTCAAACTGTATATAAAATCATATATAACAAAAAGATACTGAAAAATTTTAAAAGATATGGAATAAAAAAGTAATCGAAAATTCATAGAAATTTATAATAAAAATTACTCTGTCTCTCTGTTGAATGGTAATAGGATAATTTTGCACAAGCCACTCAACGATATCTTGATGACCGTGGTATACTGCTTTGTGCAGCAAAGGAGTACCAGCTGGATCTTTCGCAATGGCCAATTTCTTTTTAGGCTCTTCGAGTATAAGTTTTTGCACTTCTATCAGAGATCCACGTGAAACTGCATCGTGCACGTAAGAGATTTTTGTCTGGGAAAGAAACAATATATAAAAATTAGATGTTTTTCATAAAAATTAAATTTAGTGTAAAAAAAAAAAAATATATATATCACACCAAATAATTTGGGAGTCCCTTTAGGAAGACTCTAGTTCTAAGATCTGGGGAAAGTTCACCCAACAATCGTGCTCCACGTCCTTCTAGGACAACATGTTCCAATTTCTCAAATTCTCCTCGTAGTAGCCAAGATTTTAATATTGTTGCATTCATTTGTATCTGAAAATTAAATTAATATTATTTTAAATGGTTTTAAAAATTTGTAAAAATTAAATTAAATTGTCATAAATTAAAAATTGAAAAATAATTAAATGTTGAAACTCGAATGGAAATTTTGTTGTAAATATTGAATGGAAAATTTGTTAAATAAAATTTTGTAAATTAATGATCGCGTGTATGTTTGTGGAAAATGATTAAAATTTGACACCTTTTATCTAGAAAGTATAATCTATCCATTAATACGTGACCATGAATCAATTCTTGAAATGCTCACTATTGATTCTCCATCAAGCTTATCCAATCGAAACTCTGTATGACCAAGCATATCGAATCACAGATTATTCGACACGATACGATTCGTTTATAAAAATTTTCCACGATGTGTTGTTAACAAGTTAATAAGAAATAATTATCAATGAACAATTTTAAGATTCATGAATAAATTGCAAATATTATTTTTTTATATATAGATTTTTATCGATATTTTAAAGAATTTATAATAATTTTTTCTTAATTTTATATATTTTTACACATATATTACATTTCTATTTAATAATGCGTTCTAATTTTTGTACGGAATAATATTTTAAAAAGTAAAAATTCTTTTTTACTTTTCTTTAAAATTCCTAGACAAAAGTTTTCGATTCATATGATAAAAGTCATACTTGAATTGAAGTTAAGGAAAATATGTAAAATTTGTATTCTTTTTATCTAATAAATATAGATATTAGATAAAATATAAATATAGATTATTTATTCCATTGTCATGATTAATAAAATATAATATTGTATATAAAATGCAAAAACAAAGATTTTCAATAACACAATTTTTTAAAATTATCAAAATATTATTATTTTTTCACAATATATTATATTAAAATTTAATTTTTTTATTTCATATTTTATCGATTAACAAAAAAAAAAATATTTTCTATTATCAACAAATAAAAGATAATGAAAATTTGTGACAAAGTTTAAAGATGTTGCAGCATTCAACTATTGCTTATAAAATTATTTCTAAAAAAGAATGTTATTTGCGTAAAATAATACGTCAAAGTGATTTCGCTTGCAATTCCATTTTTCTTGTTACAACTACAATCGGTGAATCCCCTAGTTCGTTGGTCGCGTGTGAAGCCAAATGTAACACAAATATCTAATATGACGTTATCGTAGCAAATTGCGTTTTATTTGTATTTGAAATTCGCAAGAATACAAAAGACAGATTTCGTGTATTTTTACTAAATGACACGTGTGGATGGCACATTTATTTAAGTCAATTCTAAAAACATCATTTTAATATTTTTTAAGTATTTTTTAAGTATGAATATAAATTTTTGCAACATTTCATTCTTTGGACATTTCACTTTAATAATGAATCCAGCCAAGAACTTGATTAATCTTTCAAACACGAATCACACTTTCGTTATTATTTATTAAAATAAAATACAAGAAAATCTCTCAACTCAACTGTGTTAAATTAATCATAAAGCAAAGTAAAGCCAACTGAAATGAGTAACCAAATAATAATCCTGAAAAATACATTTCAATTATTATAATTCTCAACGCATAAGAATTCTAATCTTAAAAAGAAATAAAAGAAAAAAAAAAAAGAAGTGGAATACAAAAGTAAAAGTGCACAGATGAAAACGACAACGTGCGCAAAGATATCTGGCTGTAACCAAAAATCGTGTGCATCGTGCATTATCATCTTTATTTTCGTCGATCGTTCACCGATGAATCGAGGAATTACCTGATCGACTTCATAGAATTGTCATGTCGAGATCATATGTTCGCGGCATGGCGCAACACAAGGAAAAGCTTCACAATGATACGAGACGTGAATTGAATCGCGGCGAAGTTAGAAAAGAGAACGTGCGCGATACGAGGAAGCGTCGCGAATGAAGTCGATTCAGGGCGTCGCGACGCCACCTGTGAACACGTTTCCATAGGATTCACCGGGTCATCGAGACTGGACATTCGCCACATGATATTGGAAAAAAATAACGAGAAAGTAGAACGCTATTTTTCTCTTTTTCTTTTTCTTTTTCTTCGCGAAGACGATAATTATGATGTAAGTCGTAATTAGATCATAATTAGACAGAAGTTTCAAGAAGTTTCAAAAGATCGATTTTAAGTTGAAAAGATACATTTAAATATTTATATAAATAATGAAAATATGATCGATTCGTTAATCAGTCGATTGAAAAGTTCGGAAGAAAAATTTATAAAGAATGTTTTTTGAAGATCATAAGTACATATAACATATTTGTTGTATATGAATTGCGTTTCATCTTATTCGAACATATTTCATCAATTTGATACTCTTTATATTTATTTATTTTATTATTAATTCCTTAATATGCTTTTAAATTGCTCTTTTAAATTTAATGAATCCCCTTACTCAACTCGTTAAATAATTAAATAAACATGTTAATAGCTAAAGAAAACAACGATGATCCTTGAATACCCGTCACTCCGGTCGAAAAAATTGGACAAGGCCAGCTTGTTTGGTTGATTTCCCTCTCGGATCGAATTATTTTTAAAAATCGAAGACTTGTAAATTAGTCGACAATTCTTATTAATTCGCCTTAATTGCGAAAATCATTACACACAATGTAAAAATCATTATGTAAAAATCCCTTTAGCTTTATAAAAAGAGGAAACAAACTCTGAAAGAAGAAAATAATTCAATATCTATTAAATTGAATAATTAAACAAATTGATTCATGTTTGAGCGTATACTTTACATAAAACTTGTTTTATAAATATTTATCAATCGTGTTTGCGATTCTTTTCAATAAAAAAACAAAAGAACGGGACACGTATTTTTTATTTATCAACCTTTCAATCCGTCTTGGAACGATCCAGGCTATTTAACGATTATCTACTATAATATTCAAGATGAATTCAATGTTTTGTCCATTTCCTTGTCGTTTACCTCGTTTACTTATTTAGCTTGAAACTCGACCAGAATCGATCCTCTGGAGCAATGACATATCGATCATGTATGTTGCAAGAATCTTGCCAGTGGCCGTTGATGAGATATGCGATTATTAAATAGGTGTGATTATAATTGGAAAATATTTATTAAAATATTTATTGTATGAATTTGCTAATATCGAGGTTTCATTCAAGATTTCGAAATACTATTAAAGAATTTCTTTTTCATCACAATATAATAAATTAGCAATTTCACAAAAAAATAATATAATGGATAATGCGACAAAAAGATGAAATTGCGAAGAATATATTTCATGTCAACGAACCATTTTTATGTCCTCTGCTTTACGCCATTTTGATCAAAATCTCTGCAACCAAACTCTTGTGCAAATGATCTTTTAGACGAGAAGTCCTTTCAACGGTTTATCATTTACATTTCGCTGTAACAATGAGTACTCATTATGAGAAAAAACACACTTTCACGATAAAACACATACGAATGCTGAAGTGTCTGTCGGTCGACTAACAACCAGTAGTTTTCCACGTGTCCCAGTCAAACACGGTTTTCATTATTCAGGAAGAATACGGTAGTTGTACAGCGTTATAATGAAGAGGATAATGAAGTTTTATGATCAATATTATTCGTTTTAACGTGTTTCAATCATATACTTTTTAAAGTATACTATATTCTATATTTAAAACGAAAAAAGAAAAAAATACTCGAAGAAAAATATATACATTTGCACACAGAATTTTTTTATAATAATTTATATTTAATACAACAATGAAATAATAAAATAAAGATGAATAAACAAATATATTTATTAAAGATTTTGAATTTAAAATTTTTCCTTTTACGTTTATGCATTGTTGCTGATTTTGTCGCAATAGTCAATTAATCTTTTATTATACGAATAAACATATACTTTTATTCGATAATATACATGGAAAAATAACTTGGATTATAAAAAATTTAATGGATTTATATCTTTATTTTATTATAATTGTAAATTTAAAGTTGATCATACACGATGTTTCTTCTTTCGATTTTTGAAAGATTGACAAATTCCAATGGTTGACACATCAGCTTACACAGTATGTTTTATAAATCGCAGCGAACCAGACCCAGTTATTATATCGATGTGCTGTATGATCAATCTTGGGATATAAAGTTGTGACTTGTTATTGACAGAATGGGAAAACAGATATTAATTTTTTCCTTCACAATCCTTTTTGTTTCATCCATTTTTGCTAGTGGTAATTATAAAACAATAAATTTTTAAATATAAATTTTTATTTGTGTTTTATATATTTTTCTGATATAGTTAATTCATATTAGAAAAATGTCTGAGTAAAACAGATCTCGAGTGTACTGGTCGTGTTCATTATAACGTGACTCTGACAGCTTATTATCCTGTATTTGACAGTGACAACGAATCGGATTATTTGGATGTTAAGATGAAGAAATTGAGAACTCTGCAGGTTTGATTTAATAATTTTGCTAATAAGGAAAATAAAATTTATTCATATTTTGTAAATAGGATACTTTATATATTAAATAAGATATTTTATTGTTATAATTTTACATTACTAAAGAAAATATTAATATTACGTCATAGGATTTTCTTGATGGGCGTACAGAATTCGTAACCGTTTCCATGGATCTCGATTCAGGGATACCATATGGCACAAAATTGTGTATTCCAGAATTAAATGCAAAATTTCTGCGACAAATTCCACTTCAGGTATCATTCAGTTAAAATTTAAATGTTCTTTTTTTTTTTTTTTGTAAACATAATCACACTTTATTTCTTAGGCTAGAGACAGAAGCCACTACAACGATGTTAAAACGAGTTCACCCGATTTTTCTCATATAGATATTTGCGTAAGAACAGAGGAAGATACTTATGATAATTCAGTGAATGGTATAGTGACTCTCTATGTATAAATTATTTAAAAGAATACTTCATACTTTTTAAAAATATATAATAACAAAATTAAAATTTAGGAAATAATTTAATGATTTTTTTCTTTTAAATCTTCCATTAAAAAATATTATATATATTATATAAAATAAATCATATAATAATACTTTGGGATGGAATTTAATATTTAAACCGAGGACCAGTGTGGCCATGTTTTTATCAATTCGTATAGACTATTGCCTGGACAAGAAGTGTGTGTTGTTTGTCGATGGCCAAGTAACGTATAATTGCTTTCTATCTTTCCAATTGCTACACCGTATGAGATCAAATTCTTAGTTGCTTCTATAGCTGCTGCATTTGGAGTATGGCCTACAAATAAACAAAAACTTAAAAATAAAAAGAAATAAAATGAGACTGAATTATCATATAAGAACTTTTTAAGAAATTTCTCGTAATATTTATTTCACATCTTTCACTTCGAGTTCTATGCTATTTTAAGTAAATTTTATTAAAAATATATAACAGATTTAATTTTAAATTATATTTTTGATAATAATTTTGATATTAACATATACTTAAATAATTAAGTTCTTTTTTTAATAATTAAGTAAATATCTTTTTATATTCTACTACATAATTTACTTACCAACGTAATTACCAATTATACAAATTCCAATGCTCTTCGAATTATAAGGTATCGAGTGTGCACCATGTTTGTTCCATCCTCTTCCTTCATAAATGTTTCCATCCTCTCCAACTAAGAAGTGATAGCCTATATCACCCCAATCCTTCTCATCTATGTGATAATTCTAAATATAATAATTAAAAAAAAGTAAAAAACTTTGAGTATTTTTTTATGTATTATATATTTTTATGTATTTTTTAATATGTTCTTGAAATTTGAAATAAAAAATAAAATAAAATTTGTAATAGAATTAATCTAAATAATATTGATTTATTGATCGAATTTTTAAATTTTTAAATTATCTTTTTATTTATTTTCAATCTTTTGAATTTTATATTATTGCATGCGAATTTTATATTCAATAAATGGGAAAGATTTGTGATCTGTCTAATTTACCTGAAAGCTTCTCACTCTTGCATTACAAATTGCTTGAGTGATGCAACTATCTGTCGCCGAATGATGAATTATAACAAATGGCGCAGGATCTTGTGCAAGTGCTCGTATAGTTTTCGTCGGTTTTCTGGCGCCCCATTCTGATCTCGATATTATCTTTGGATGTACTAAATTAACAAAAAATCAACAAATGAATAATTTTACAAAAAAACTTTTCTTGTTAAAAGATTTTCACTTTATTCTGGAAATTATTTTCTTTGTTTTTTTCTTTACCTCTTTCTCATTTTAACATTGAAAATAATTACACATGATGATAATTAAAATAATGATTTCCTATGAAAGATCAAATCTCGTTATTCATAATTACGGTAAATTATTTTTGACTTTAATGGATGAATAACATCAACATAATTGTCATTGTTATATTTTCATGCTTTTTAATTTAGTTTTTTAATCGATTATGGAGAGAATATCAAACAAAATGATAATTAATTAAAATGCTTCGTATTGGTAAATACCAATTAAATAATAATGATAACAGGACTATAAATAAATATTCTTGACATCAGTCAGTGGAAATTTTTCTTGAATATTTTATATAATTTGTTGTATAAACAAAAAATCGATGATGATATAAATGAGAATGAACGTCATTCTACATTTTTTTTAAAGCAATTATGATTTTGATCAGAATTTCATTACTAGTAAAATTTATTGGATTAGATGTAAATATGAATTATTAAATTATTGAACTACTTTAAAAATTTACAAAAGAATCTAGAATTGTATTGAATACGATAGTTATTGTTTCAAATAATTGAACTCTTAATGAAATAACGATAAAAATTTTTTAGTAAAATTACTGTAAAAAATAAAGAAGAAATTTATTATATCATGCATCTATTAATATACACTTATATAACGATATTTATAATCTATGACTTGCAATAGAATCATTTCATTCGAGAAAATTCTCGAAGAAGAAAACAAGCAACGATAGCTGATTTTATAGCGATCGAATTTTATAGAATCTAGTTTAAAGCTTCGCTAATTCGAAATATTGAAATTATTATTGAAAAAAGTATTAAAACACTTGCACATTCAACACAATTCGACATTCGTTGCTTCAATAATATTTTTTAAGATTTATTACTAGGCGTTTCATGAACAGCGCAAAATAGTACTTGACAGTTGGCAAATAAAAAAAACACTGCTAGTAACTTCGTCATCTTCGTTCACAGAGATCTGTACTGGCATTGTGTTAAATTGTACCAAGTATATAAAGTGGCTGGTCAGTTTAATTTGATTTCTTGATCTTTGACCGTATCAGATAAAGTGGGATTCCTATTCTATCTTCATTACATTTATTTAAAATTTTGTATTACATTAATTTGTTTAAAAAGATCTATTTGTTTTTAAGATTTATCACTGTCAATTTCGAAACAACATAAATAGCACATAGATAAAGAACCAGTCAGTCAAAAATATAAAGATGCGTTATTACTGACAATAAGTGATCTTTGATTTTGAAATCGATAGAGATCTTAAATGAAGAGATGTGATCTTGAATGATCATGAATTTCAAGATCAATAATTTATTGATGCAATGGTGTTTTACTCGTCACAAGAATAGAAGGTTTGAATAGAAATCTAATAATCTGACTATCTATTTAAAAAAATGGTATTAAAAAAAATGTTTCATTATTTAAACTATTTTTATATCTTATTCCTCAAGTTTGATACCATTCTTTTCTTTAGAGAGCAATAAAAAATTTATGTTTTTCCAGAGAATTTTTTTCAACAATATGCTAAATATTAAATATAATAAATCTTTTTTTTCCGAATATGAATAATAAACTGTTGTTGCAATTATGATACCAATATGAGTCAATAAATTATGAAATAATAAAATATTTACTTTTCATTAGTTTTCATTTGAAATGTGAATATTTTTATAAACAATATCATTTTAATGGCAAAATTTTTATTTTTTAGATACTGGTTGCGTTATAATGTATTTATAATTTAATAAAAAAAATTATATTTTATAATTAAGGTCAAATTCTTGACATATTTTTTATTGATTCGAAAATAAAATCATTTTTTTTTTTATGTTTCATAAGATGAAAGTTTATGTTTATTTTTTTCTTTAAAGGAAACCCAATGCTATAATTTTTGATATAATAATCTGTTTAATTTTATTAATTTGAACGAGTTCGCTTAATCTATTTTTTTTTATATTCGTATTGATATATAACGATAATTACGTGAGCTTTAATTTTTATATTTCTTAGATATGCGAAAATATACCACGAAAAATGAAAAATCAATATTTTATTGAATATAATAATCAATACTAATTACATTAGCTCATAATTATACATAATTTCATTCATTCAAGAGAATCTCTTCATTCATTTATTTCGATAAATAAAATGCATTTTACTCTATGAAATCATTTCCATATTATTCTAAGGAAATCAGAATATAAATTATTCATGAACTTATTTCTAAAAATATTCGTTTCAAATTAACAAGTAACATGAAACCATATTCAATTTTACAATTACATTCGATAATATGTAATTAATTATTTACACACTTGACTTAACTTATCGAAGAAATAAAATAAAAAGAAAAAAAATAAATTGCAATTAATCTTTATATTTAATTATCGTTAATTGCATTTTTTTATCAATAATACAATACAAATACTGTAAATTTCCTTAACGTAATAAAGACCATTTTTTAATCTCTATATTTATTGTTAAGTTTACAATTTTAATTATTAAAACTATTTTCCATAAGTATTTCAAGATATTGTTATCTATTGTCAATAATATGATATATTATATATATATTATATATATATATATATATATATATATATATATATATATATATATATAT